TGTGCCTCCCTTCTCTCACCTCATCCTCTTCTTTTTCCAAAGGGCTCTCCTGACTCCAACAAATTCTTCCTCTGCACTCTCTGCTCCTTCACTGCCCCTGTCAATCCTCCACCTCCTTATCCTCTGCCTCTTTTCTTTCCTCCTTGTTAAACTCCTCCTGCCATTCCTTCACATCCTCGTCTTCCTCTTCCTCAGTCATCTTCGTGACCTCCTGTTCTCTTCATCTTCCTCAACCTCAATCACTTCTGCATCCTCCATCTCTAACGCCTTCTCTTCTTCTACCCTTCATTCCTCTTTTCACTCCACTTCTTTCACTTGTTTTCCCTACTCCACTTCCTCTTCTTCTTTTACTTCTGTCTCCTACTGAATCCTGAATTTTCCACCTGTGTGCTACCTCCTCCTTCACCACCTCCATATTCTTTTGTTTCTGCATCTCCTCCTCTTCTTCCTCAGCTTCATCCCATCCCTTCCTCAGATATGTTGTGAAACTCATCTTGCAACTCTTTCACCGCCACCCCCTCTTCATCTTCCTTTCCCCAACCCCATGGCCTCCTTCTTCACCACATTTTGCTCCTCCCCTCTCCCTTCTTCGTCCTCCATTTCGCACTTTTCACCCTTGTTCTCTGTATCTGTTTCTCCTCCTCCCCCACCTTCTTTTCCTCTTTTCACTTGACCTCATCCCCATCTTCATCCTACTTGTCCTCTTCCTCCTCATTCCTAACACCAGCGTCGCCACACTCGCACACACACCAGCATGAGTACTGAACCAGCACACGGATAGAAAGCGAACAGAATTTGAATTCATTGTGGGATTTATAGGCTGCAAGGCTTGTACGGTAATTCTGTTAACAAAAGGTATCCTTAGATGGAATTAAATATTTATCCGCTCTATGAATAACAATTGGCGAGGGAACGGAGAGGCAGTGTTTACTTTTTCGGGTTTGGTGGGGAGGAGGACTGATTCTGTTCTGCATCCCGCCTCGGTGAGTTGATTGGGAAGGGGAGGAGAGGGGATGGGGGGTGGCAGGACGACCTGGGGCCACAGGCGGTCATTACACACGGTACGGAGCCCTGTTCCAGCTCTAATCCTCACCCGGAAGGAAGCTGAACTGCCCGGGACTCAGCATGGACTCCCGCCCTGACGATCAGGCTCCTGCTGTTTGTTTGTGAACCGGGAGCTGTGGGGGAGCTGACCTCACTCTGCTCCTTGTAATGGCATCTGTTTGATCCAAACGTAAGAAAGATCACATGGAAAGAGGAGGCCTGCATATTATAAATGTTGCTATAAGTTCTACTTAGTCAAGTCTTCTCACTGATGTTTACGTAACATTTCAGCCCATTGTTTTACCGGCACATTATTCCAAAACCCCAGTAGTGAAAAAAAATGTTCATTGGAACAATAGCTAATTTGTCTGACAGCCCATTATCCCAAAAACAAAAGCCCACTGCTCCGAAGGCCCGTTTTTCTGAAAATACACACGCTCCCTGGAATTTTGTACGTGCAAGAAAGGACGCTTCATTGTCATGG